TTTTTTTTTATTTATTTTTGGGACAGAGAGAGACAGAGCATGAACGGGGGAGGGGCAGAGAGAGAGGGAGACACAGAATCGGAAACAGGCTCCAGGCTCTGAGCCATCAGCCCAGAGCCTGACGCGGGGCTCGAACTCACGGACCGCGAGATCGTGACCTGGCTGAAGTCGGACGCTTAACCGACTGCGCCACCCAGGCGCCCCATGAGAAGAGTATTTAAAAAAAGCAGAGGGGCGCCTGGGTGGCTCAGTGGGTTAAGCCACTGAGGGTCAGGTCATGATCTCACAGTTCGTGAGTTTGAGCCCCGGGTCGGGCTCTGTGCTGATGGCTCGGAGCCTGGAGCCTGCTTTGGATTCTGTCTCTCTCTCTCTGCCCCTCTCTGCCCCTCCCCTACTTGTGCTCTGTTTCTCTCTCTCTCTAAAAAATAAATAAACATTAAAAAAAAATTTTTTAAAGATTTTAAAAACAAAAAATATGTCAAGTAAAGTGATATCCTCATTGTTTCAAAATGTCATTAAGATCATTCTTTTTGACAATCAAAAAGAATGAAATCTTGCCATTTGCAACTATGTGGATGGAACTGGAGGGTATTATGCTAAGTGAAATTAGTCAGTCAGAGAAAGACAAAAATCATATGACTTCACTCATGAGGACTTTAAGAGACAAAACAGATGAACATAAGGGAAGGGAAACAAAAATAATATAAAAACAGGGAGGGGGACAAAACAGAAGAGACTCATAAATATGGAGAACAAACTGAGAGTTGCTGGAGAGGTTGTGGGAGGGGGGATGGGCTAAATGGGTAAGGGGCACTAAGGAATCTACTCCTGAAATCATTGTTGCACGATATGCTAACTAATTTGGATGTAAATTTTAAAAAATAAAAAATTGAATTAAAAAAAAGAAGCTAAACAAACAAACAAACAAACAAAATGGCATTAAGATCAGATACTTCTACCGATGGTCCGTGAGCATGTCTGAGGACATAGTATCCACGTCACCATATGGTTAAATCAGACAAACTCAAATATTTGGTCATCTCAATTCCGTGTGGCTCACTTACAAGAATGACATTTAGCAAATATTATTCAAGCATTAGGCCTGTTACCTTGCTAGGTGCTAGGGATTCAAAGGCACGTGCCTGCCTTCAAGGACTGTATAATCTAATAAGATTACAGTTGGCTACAAAGAGCAGAAAACAGACTCAAATACAGAGAACAAACTGATGATTGCCAGAGAGGAGGCAGGGGAAATAGGTGAAGGGAATTACAGGGTACAAACTTCCAGTTATAAATGAATATAAGCCATGGGGATGAAAAGTACAGCATAGGGAATATAGTCAATAATTTGTAATAACTTTTTGTGGTGACAGATGGCAACTACACTTGTGGTGAGCATTCTGTAATGTAT